ACCACACATGACATGTTGAAAAGCATAAAGGAAGTGCTTGCCAAACATTTGCCACAAAACAGAAAGTCACCATAACTCATGCCTGAAAGGTCAGATTTCTCCTATACTTGTAAGACCTGCAGCTGGACAAGTAACAACATGGATGGAAGGCGATGTCGAAGATTCGGGAAATGCGCCATGTGGTGAATGCATGCGGGATTGGCACAAGAGAGTTTGCAATGGTGACTCGGTGGACTAGCTAGAACTCCCACAGTCGCCGTAAGGCCGGAGCGGCGCTTTGCTGCGAGGGCCTCCAATGCTGCTTGCAGCTTTAATTAACATTAGAACTGGAGGCCAAATTAATGCCATCCAAGGAGGGCAAAACACTGAACAAGTTATTCCTAAGATGCTCAGGTCCAAAAACCAAAACCTCAGTCTTGTCTGTATTCAAAATCAGAAAATTTAGGGTCATCCAGGTTTTTATGTCTTTAAGACATGCTTGTAGTCCAAGTAGTTGACTGGATTCATTGGGCTTCATGGACAAATGGAAGTGAGTATCATCAGCAAAACAATGAACATTTATCCCATGCTGTTTAATAACATTACCTAATGGAAGCATATACTGTACAAGGTAGAGTATAGGTCCAAACACTGAACCTTAAGGAACTCCATGACTAATTTTGGTGTATGATGAAGATTCATTATTTACATTTACAAATTGGAATATATCAGATAAATATAATTTAAACCAATTCAGAGCCATTCCTGTAATCCCAATATCATATTCAAGTCTCTGTAATAGAATATTATGATCAACTGTATCAAATGCAGCACTGAGATCAAACAGGACCAGTGTAGACACCTGTCCATTATCAGAGGCCATAACAATATCATTTGTAACTTTCACCAGTGTAGATTCAGTGCTGTGACGAGCTCTAAAACCTGACTGGAACTCTTCAAACAGATTATTTCTTTACAGATGATCACATAACTGACCAGCAAATGTTTTCTCTAGAATTTTTTAGATGAAAGTTAGAGTAGATATAGGTCTATAATTGATTAGGATTCCTGATACAAGGTTATGTTTCTTAAGTAAAGGGTTAATTATAGCAATCTTAAAGCTCTGTGGTATGTAACTGTTTTATTAGAGACAAATTAAGCAAATCCAAGACATGGTTATTAATTAAGGGAAATACGTCTTTAATTGGCCTGGTTGGGATGGGATATAGCAGACATGTGGAAGGTTTGGATGACACTATTATTTTTTACAATTCAGAGAGCTCAACAGGACAAAAACAGTCCCAACATAAATCAGGTTCTAGTGACATTTTTAAAGTTGTGTCATCTGACACAGAACCAGAGGCGATAGTAGGAAGGTTGGTTTGATTTTTTCCCCTAAAAGACTAATTTTTTTGTGGAAAAGAAAAAAAAGAAAAAAAAAAAAGAAGCCCCTCAGGAATGTGAATGGTCATGAAGTTCAAGGAAAATACAAGGGTTGAACAACCCTCTATGCTCTAAGTCCCGGTTGGGACTTCCAGTAAGATGGCGCCCGTGTACATGGCTTGCAATCCATCTCTGCTGATGGTGTTCGGATTATTTTTGTTTTGTTCGTTTTTTATCTGTGGCATAAATTCACTCCTGACGTATGACCGACAACAGCTTCTGGATCTTCGTTTTTCTGCCACCGATGTCGCTTATTTGGACCATTATCAGCGTAGCTCTGGACCCCCCTCCTCCCCCCCCCGCTGGCAGACGTGCCAATTTACCTCCGCTGGGCTCCTCACCTGCCTGCCCGGAGACATTGCTTCAGATGCCAGGGAAAACGTGCTGGTCAGCTGGTGAAGCTTAAAGCTCTGCGCGCTGCATCTTCCTCTTCAGCTGGTGGTCATGGTTTCCATTGCCAGCTTCCCGCGTGCCCGGACCAGGTAAACAACGGGAGTTGTCGGCCGGTGCACCGCTCGGGCCGACCTGGAGGGGCTGTTATTGAAAACCTGTGGCCATTAGCGTGCGCAAACTTCACCGTTGCTGGCTCCACTTTGAACAGTATCCGGATGTGTTTTGGTCAACGCAAGATCTGTTACCAACAAAACGTTTATCCTCAGGGACTACTTTCAAGAGCATGATTTGGACTTTTTATGTATCACAGAGACTTGGATGTCTCCGGGTGAGTCCAGCGTCTTGACGGAATTATTGCCACCGAACTGTCTGTATTTTAACGCCCCGCGGCCATCAGGCTGGCACGGTGGTGGATTATTAACAATATTCAAACCAACTTTTGACTGTAAACAACTGCCCATCCCAGTTTCCCGCGCCAGCTTTGAGCTGAGCGTTTTTGAACTCGGACATTTACCTCAGACTTTATTTGCACTCGTATACCGCCCACCTCGGTCTTAGGACTTCATAAATTAGTTTTCTGACTTCTTAGCTGAAATCACACCAAAATATGAGCAGGTATTCATTATAGGAGACTTTAATTTGCACGTGTGATGTCTGGAGAAGGCCTTGGTTAAGGACTTTTAAGATTTATTGGACTCATTTAATCTAACGCATCATGTGAATGCTCCCACCCAAGAGCGTGGACATGCACTGGACCTTGTTTTAACTCGTGATGTGACTGTTAATAATCTTGTTATTGGTGATAATGTTTTTTCAGACCACATGCCAGTCCAGTTTGAGTTCACCCTCCCCCATCTAACTCCTAAATCATGCATTCCTGCACGTCGCAGCCAGACAATTAACCACTTCACTGCCGCATGCTTCACAGATGCTTATAACTCTGAAATGATAATTCAGCCCCCGGTGTTTCTCACCACCACTGAGGAGCTGACATCCCAGTTCAACTCTGTTTGTTTAAAGACTCTGGATCATGTTGCTCCTGTTAAAACCAAAAAAATCAAAACTCAGAGCAGAACCTTGGCTGAGTGACTTCATCAAGGCTGTTAGGCAGAAATGTAGGAGGGAGGAGTGAAAGTGGAGGAAAGACAGGCTGCAGGTCTCTTTTGAAATACTTAAAGAGAGTTGTTGCCGTTATCAGAAAGCAATGAAAGCTGCAATACTTTTCTGATATAATTACCTGAAACTCTCGTAACCCACGTGTCCTCTTCTCCACCCTAAACTCTGTTCTCCTCCTCACTGAACCATCACCTCTGGAAGCCTCAACTGAGCTGTGCGACAACTTCTTACATTACTTTTTGGAAAAAATTGCGACCACCCAGGCTCTCATTTCCCCTCCAACTCATGACTCATCCATCCCACTTCAATCTGTAATTCCATTTGACCATTTTGAACCCATCACTCTATCGTCTCTAGAGCAGGTCATGTGCAGCTTGAAACCTTCTGGTTCCCCCTTTGATGTGGTCCCCCCTTGACTACTAAAGGAGGTTTTTCCCACTCTAGGTCTGTCCATTCTTGATATAGTAAATAGTAGCTTATCCACTGGCGTGGTGCCAAAATCCTTTAAACATGCAGCTGTCCAGCCTCTCTTGAAAAAAACCAAACCTTGACCCCTCTGTCGTGTCCAACTTCCGGCCTGTCTCCAAACTCCCATTTGTTTCTAAAGTACTGGAGAAAATAGTTGAGTCCCAGATGAAGTGCTTCCTGGAAGGTCACACCATCTTAGAGCTATTCCAATCTGGCTTTAAACCTCTCCACAGCACTGAAACTGCCCTGCTGAAGGTCTTTAACGATATCTTCAGATTCACAGATACCGATGATTCTGTGCTGCTTGTCCTGTTGGACCTCACTGCCACCTTTGACACCATCGACCATGAGATCCTCATTGCTAGGTTGGTGCAGTGGGTGGGCGTCACAGGGTCAGCCCTCAATTGGTTCAGATATTACCTCGCTGACAGATCCTTTTGTGTCTCCATGAAGAATTTTAGTTCCGCAGAGGCAGAGCTTAAATGGGGGGTTCCACAGAGGTCCATCCTGGGTCCCCTCCTATTCTCTTTATACCTGCTGCCGCTTGGTGCTATTTTCCGGAAACACAACATGCACTTCCACTTCTATGCTGATGACTGTCAAATTTACTTCCCCCTAAGACACAATGGTACATGCTCTATTCAACCGCTGCTCGACTGTCTGGCTGACATCAGGGACTGGATGGCTTTAAACTTCTTAAGTTTCAATGAAAAGAAGTCTGAAGTCATGTTGTTCCCTCCCAGTGACACAATCACAAACCACTGCATCGACCTCTCTACTCTAACCCTGTCAGAAAAACAAAGAGTCACTAATCTGGGCGTGATAATGGACCCTTCCCTGAAACTTAACTATCATGTAAACATGATTGTTAAATCATGTTTCTTCCAACTGAGGCAGCTGTCTAAACTGAAGCCCATATTGTCCAAAAATAACCTGGAGACTATAATACATGCATTCATTACATCTAGGCTTGATTACTGCAATTTGCTCCTGTTTGGTATCAGTCAGTCCTCTATAGCACGACTACAACTTGTCCAGAATACACCAGCCCGATTTTAACCAGTACAGGCAAAAGAGAGCACATTACTCCAATTTCTCCCATCTGCTACAACCGTATGTCCCACCACGTTCCCTGAGGTCAGCGGACCAGTTGTTCCTCACAGTTCCAGGAACTCGTCTTAAGCGCAGAGGGGGCAGGGCCTTCTCTGTAGCAGGACCAAGACTCTGGAACGAGTTACCTCTGCTTGTCAGACAGGCCCCCTCCCTCTTGGTTTTCACGTCCCGTTTAAAAACCCACTACTATTCAGTGGCTTTCAACACCAGATGATCTGTGTTTTGATCCAGTATGCTCCACACTGTTTTGTCATCATTATCTGCATCGTTTTTTTATGTCTATATCCTGATGACCTCATTTTGTATATTGCTTTGTGTGTTGTTTGTTGTTTTGTCTGTACAGCACTTTGGTTGGCCTTGTCACTGTTTCAAGTGCTCTATAAATAAAGTGGTATGGCATGGTATGGTAACAAATATTCTGAGGTGTGATTCTTTTTCAATATATTCAGTTCAAAGACAATAAAAGTTATAGTTGTTTAAAATCTCACCATTATGACAGCTGTACATCCACACACGGTGGCCATCATAGCGACATCTGCATTTAGTGACATTGTTGGTGTAGTCTGACTCCGGCACCTCGTGATTTGGATTAATTATAATCTGTTGGAGGGAGGACATTTGGAGTTGAAGGCTGAGTCTGAAACGCCACAAACAGCAAACACAAAGGAACATCAAGACAGGTCACCTGGAAAACATAATCCCCAGGTTTGACATCAGTGATGTCGACCCACTGGCAGTCGATGTCGTGTCTGTACGTATCCCAGCAGCCAACAGTGATGCCCTGCTCACCAAAGTTAGCACATTCATACTTCTTTTCAATCCCTGCAGGAACAAAACATGATAACACTTAGACAGCTGAGTTCTGTTGAAAGGTAGCAAAGAAAATCTTACCTGTTGCAGAAAGCTCTTAGTTTAACATTAATTTGGACTGGGCTGATGAGCTGACAGCTGTTCAGAAGTGGATCACTACAGAGTATTTCTGTCAACAAGTTGAGTGTGTGGTGACACTGATGTGTGTGTGCATTAGAATAGCCATTAGCTCATTAGTTTAGTGAGAAATCAACTCTGTTTCTCTAAACTGAGGTCATTAAAAGAGATATCTATAACAATTATAAAATTACTTATTTATAACTGTTACACAAACTGTCTGTCACACAGACAGACAGACAGAAGATAAAAGGGCTGAACTATATCTTTTCAAAAACACGGTTAAGCTGATTATTTTGGGTTTCCTGCTAGCATACATTTAAATTTGTTACATATATGAAAGCACATTACTCATTCAAATCTTTCAGCAAACCATTTTGTTTTTTGATTCCCCAAAATGAAAAAGATGGGTGAGTCGTACCTTCATCACATTCTGAATCCTCCAAACAGAAACTGGCTTTGTGTCCCTCGGCCACTCTAGTTCCATTTAAACTCAGCAGGTCGTAGGTTGTGAACACTTCCATGCTGTGATAATGCCTACAGACAGAGAGACACTTTATTAATTCCCAGGAGGAATTTCTAATATACATATATATATATATATATATATATATATATACATATATACATATATATATATATATACATATATACATATATATATATATACATATATATATATATATA